GGAAATAGCAAAAACTAAATAATGTATGTAACATTTATACTGATCAAAAATAAAAAAAGGAAAATGGTGGAACTACATAAAAAAAGTTAAGTGATATGTATATGATGGCAAACTCACTAAATAAAAGCTTGCCTGACCCCTGAAACCAAGAGGGGTGTTCATAATTACTCATTACAACTTAATATCATCAGACAGCAAAACTGTATTTAAAAGTAGTTAAATAAACGTTTTAGTAACTGATAATTATACACACACATTTCTGTGTTTTGGATGACCTAGTTGTTTCTATGTGCTTATGTGAGTCAACCAATCTGTAATTGGCACTACATGTTCCAAGAAAGCACCTTTAACAAATCTTCTTATTTTCAAGCAAAAATCCAGACATGACCAAATGTGGTACATCAACGTGTTCTCTGTTGATTTATGGCACAAGGTCAGCTCAGTCATGTAAAGCATGGCTGCTGCTTCCCACCATCAACATCTTGAGGGGATCACCCAGTCTGTGTTAGCCTGAAAGATTGCTTTTGTAGCATCAACCCTTCAGAAACTTTTCAGTTTGTCTGTGTTACGGATGGAGGGGTGTGTGTTTGGGGGAGGGGGGGTGTCTCCCCCTTTATGAATCGGAGCGCCACGTCGCACTATGAAGAAGGGAATTCAGTGAATAGGCGCCACTCAAGAGGAATAAAGAAACCTCTCCACTGGTTTGTTTTGGAGGTTGTCTTATTGATCTGTCTACCTATGAATGAATGCGTTGGCCCAGTTTTCCCGCTCATGCAGACAATGACACAAGGCCTGAATTAACAGGCCTGATGTTGTTCCCAGAAAATAGACTGCATTGAGAGGAATTTGGGGAGTGTTTGTCGTTTCATTCTTCCATCTCTTAACCTTTCCCACAGTTGCAGACGGTAAATGAAGAGAAGCAAATCGATGACCACCAGTTGCTTAAATCAATGCTAATAACAAGGCCATGGAGCATTTTATAGATGTGTAAAACAATATCTATTTCATTTTCATGATTGTTTTTTTTATTTGTTTGAGACATTGAAGCTCTAAAAGGGATTGGAAAAGCTCTAAAGTCCAGAACTATCATAAAGACTTTGTGTTTGTAGTAAGGCCCTAAGAAGACATCTTAAGAGTTCTTTTTAATCTAGGTTACATTTCACAAAGAATCATCCTATATATATTTATTATTTCAGCACTTGCAAACATGAATAAATTCCAGGACAAAACTTTACCCAGAAACAATTAGTCCAAAAGCCCAGGAAATGTAGAAAAATACCTATTTATCATGCTCAATGAAAAACTGTTTTCTTTTATTTTTTAAAGTGGGGTTTTAATATAGAGAATTCATGAACAAGTTTCATTTTACTTACGGCAGACAGAATAATCTTTCATTGGACAATCAAGGATAAATTGCAATGGGGGTGTCAGGTCAACAGCTGTTCCAAAGAGAAAATGTCAAGAAAAAATGTACACTTTTTCACTCAAACATTTCATGAGATTATTATCATTAATACATCATATCACTTTTGCATATTTACGTCATTTTTAGATGATTTTTGATAAGAAGGATGGGTTTGTAATCAGTGTCCACTGCTGGGAAGAGTTTTTATGTATGTAGTTTTCACTGATGATCCTGTTTCTGTTCATTTCACTGAACATGCATGTTAGGTTAACTAGTAACTCTAAAGTGTCCCGAAGTGTGACAGAGTGAATCTATGTGGCCCCGTGATGGACTTACGACCTGTCAGGGTGTCCCCCGCCTCTCGCACAGTGACTGCTGGACATGGGCACCAGTGACCCCCGTGACCCGAAAAGGAAGAAGCGGGTAAAGATAATGGATGGATGCAAGGTGTGAATCCAAGAGCTCAACCTCCACTCAGTTTTGGGTATTGCTGATATTGTGTAGGACTTACTTATCCTTTACACCACAAGTAGACGGAAGTATATATATATATATATATATATATATATACACACATATATATACACATATGAACAATCCCACCATTTCTACAACTCACTGATGTCTCCAACAAATAATATTGTAACTGAGTTTTTGCCCTTTTCTTAAGAAATAACAAATTAGTCCCCTACTTTGTAACATAGCTTTGGGTACATATGCACAAGAACTTGTCAGCAATTTGATTATTTGTGTTCCTTTGTCCTATTTTTCCCACACTTCATGCCCTACTTCAGTACAACAATGGGGGTCTTTGGGCCAGCAGTGGGGAACAGACAGCACAGTGTGTGCTCGTGACGTCACGCTGCAATAGCTCTATAGTTATTTACACTCAACACTGGCCTTACTGGCCCTGTTGTAAGAAAACACTAGCTGAAAAGATGAATCATGTGAAGTGCATCCGGCCCAGAACAAAGTTTAATGCTTAAGTTGTGTGGTGAAAAAATGCATCATAGCATTTGCTTGAATGACTCTAACAATATGGAGTTTTGAGTTAAGATGGCTGAAATCTGCTCTTACATAAGACTCTCTCAGCAGACTGACTTGCCTTTTTTTTTTTTTCTCATTTCATCAAGCTGAAATATTTTTGTAGCTAAAAGACTGGCTGTTGATAATTACACAGACATCCAATTCAGTTATCCTTCAAGTAAACAACTTGTATTAAAGAAACTGTTCTCACAATTGTAGACATCTTGTGGGTATAATTTGGTATTAGAGGGTTTACACAGCAGCACAAACAAATGAACAGATTATTTCACATTTTCTGTATATTTGGATCTGTATGTTGTTGGTCAATCTGAAGTATCAATCAAAATCTTACTAACTGCTGACATATTTCTAATTTATTGATATAAAAATATTTATGTTACATTTAATACTTACACTTGATCTCAACAAGTCATCTTTGTACAATGTTAAAATGAAAAACCCAACTCATTTCTCCTTCTTAGGGAAGCATAAGAGGGAGCTATTTTTAAAAACAACTCACAGGTCAGTGCTCTAGACTGATTTTTCAAAGTAAAAGCACATTTAATTGCCTTGTGACTAAATCCGTCTTCTCGTTAATTCCAGTCAACATAGAAAGCAATAAAAACAGACAAACTAAAGAACATAATTTATTTAAAACAAAAATCTAAAGCAGAAATAAATACATGAAAGAACAATGTTTTTTTTTTTTAAATTTACTTTGTGAACCCAACAATGAGTGAGGAACACTTTTGGTGGTAACAAACTGGAAAGAAAAAAAAAATCAAAGTTTGTTTACAGGCCAATAAATTCTTTAAAAAAGTCCCAAATCATTAAAGTATCCAAATTGTACCATTAAAGAAAACAAAAATCTATAACTGATTTGTCAAACACATTTTAAAAAGTGATTTTAGCCATCATGCACTCCCACAACAAATATTTTCCGTTAGCTATTAAAATTAGAAATGTTTACAGGCCTCAACACAATAAATACAAAAACAAAGAAAGCAATGCATAAAAACAGTCATTAGGACAAATTAGATTGTATTTGAAAAACAGATTAAACACAGAAATTAAGTGCAGGGATGAGGGGGTGTTAAATCAATGCAAACAAACAAACTCAATTTTATATGAATATAAAAACAATATTCTAAAAGTTAGGCAGAATTGATACATTCACCATGTGCATATTCTCCATTGTTTGAAACAGATACAAACTAAAGCTAAGACTTTTAACTTCAGGAGCTTAGAAATGTTGATATGGTGCTGCTGGACTTTGTTGTGTACAAAACTCACAATGGGAATTTATAAATTCCAGGTGGACGACACGACAGGTACAACAGGCAGATAGTTCGACCAGAAATGCACAAATTGTGTAATCTGCAACTAATCTGGTACTGTACCCTAAATTCCTAATGACACTGGACAGTCATGCTGGCCATTGGGTCACTAGCACAATCACTCTTTGTGCGTATATTCTCCTGCCATTGAATGACAGTAATCAAAAACAACAGATTGTGTCCTCGTGTAAACCAGAACTGCTGATTCCCTCTTGGATCTACAGAAAACCGAAGGCTGCAGAAATAAACCCACAGAGACTGAAAGCAGGGTTAAAAGACTTACTTGGCACCATTTTAAAATTCCAAACTTCTACAAACGCACAATTTGATCCTTTAAAAATAACAATAAAACTTCTGCAGAACATAACCGTGGTATTCTAACAGTAGCAGACGTCTTTTGATCACAATGCCCATTTAGATTAGATCTGACGTCCAGCAGAGACCACAAACCTGCAGACATGAACACCAGCTCAGACTCTGAGCTCGACACGCTGTCCTCCCTTTGAGTCATAGTCGCTGCTCAACAACAACTTAGAAATCTCACAATAAAACGGCTCAGTTTAAACCATAAAAACTAAAGTTTAACACAACAAATAAAACTTTTGTCCTCTATGGCAAGCTCAGTTAGACTGATTAAAATAAATCAACTTCAAGTCAGTTAGATGTCACCTCTTCTTCAAGCACAGCTCTCATTTCCTCACTTTATAACCTTTGATTATAGTGCTTCCCAGCCAGCCATGCTGAGAATTATCTGCAGGTTGACACAATGTCCTCTCAGAATCAGAGACTCACCGGCCCTCAACGACAGGTTAAGACTCGTTCAGTCACATGTCATCAGACATTTGAGCAAAAAAAAACAAAAAAAAAACGGTTAAAAACTGTAAAATATTCAGTAAGAAACAAACAAAAGGATCCCACCAAGTTTGGTAGGCAGAACTTCCTCCCAACACAAAACACATACCCGTTAAGGTGCAAGATTATACTATCAAGATGAAAATATTGCGATCAAAATGAAGCTTCTCTCCAACGTATTACAGATAAAATAAGAATAAAGACTGTGATACAACTGGAATACAGATGTTGCATTGCTACTAATTTCAAGACTCTTGTTCACATGTGTTCAGACTTGAATAAGTTTGGGGGGGTGTGATTTCTACAACCACTTAAAAGGTGCATTCGGCCCATCTGAAACTCTTGAAAGTGAGCTATATGAAGTTATAAAGAAGCTGCACTTGTTCTAAATTTAAAGGTATAAAAAAAATCAGAAAATATTAATGGATATGACTCATTGTAGTTAGATGCGAATAATCAACATTAATTGAACTTAATTCAGAACTGCTAGACAGCATTTCAACAAATACAATCGAGACTACCATCTCAGAGTATTGTATCATTTAAAATGTGTACGGAAGCTTTGTTTTGTTATTTCTGTGCCTTTACAGTGATGACACTCACTTATAGGTGTCTACTGTTTTAAAACAATTACAGCCCGAATAGGAAAAACCATGGTCATAAAAATCTAACTAATAATCAGAGTTCACAGTCAACAATTGTGGAGGAAGCGCTGGAACAAGAACAACAAAAAAAAAATAACCCAAGAGTTGCGATGAAATGATCATTCAATCTGAGGTGGACAGACTGAAACAGGAAAAGCTGTGGAGCAGAGTCACTGGTGGGCCTATGTTGCCCCCCACCCACCAAGTTCTTTTTGATCACAGTCAACACACAGTAGCACTGTAGTAGTATAAATGGCCCTTTTGGATTGTTGATGCTATGCTGCCATGAGATACTGATGATAGAAGAGGCCAAAGAGGGAGGTGGAGAAAAGACAGGCAGCAATCCACCAAGTGAAGAAGGAGAAAAGGCCCCGGAAAAGTAAGGGGCTAAAAACTGTCCGCAGGCCCCCCAGAGCCATTGAAAGTTGGACTACGGATGCCCGAGCCCCTGTTTCTAGCACTGATGCTGGTTGGGAGGGTGCGATTGGTTCTGCCCCCAATACAGAATCAGAGTTCATTTCATGGGTGCACGGCAGGTCTTCTTGGGGATAGACCCACCAGGAGTGACCACCTGGTAAAAGAGAAGCAAAAGTAAGAAATGACTTTAAATCGTCAAAAGCAAAAAGATATTCTGAACAGACAACAAACACAGAGAAGTGACTCACCTAAGGTTTTTAGCAGCAAAGTTGTATGTAGCAACATCACCAGGGGTGCCACATACTGTAGTGCGATTACACACAAATAGTAAAAAACACGAGCAATCTGGGCAAAAGCAGAAGCATATCACTTAAAATCTCATCTCCTCTGAATGTTAAAACACGCTGAAGAAAACAGTCTTGTGCAGAATAAAAAGCAACATAGAGTTCACCAGTGGTCAGAGTTAGTTTGAACACTGTATTACTTTAAAGAATAACACAGGCAGTTCTAATGATACTTATGATAATTTACTAAATCTGACAGTTCATACAAACATAACTTAAGCACTAACAATTAGCTTTGTAAAAAAAAAAACTCATTACATTTTGATAAAAACACTGAACTAAACATTTATTACACCGAATGTGATAAATAGAAACAACTTGTGATTCCAAGCCTAATGGGAGCCCCCTATTACAATGATTAAAAAAAAGCTTTTACAGATGCTGATCATAAAATTAGAATATCATGAAAAAGTTGATTTATTTCAGTAATTCTATTCAAAACGTGAAACTTGTATATTATATTCATTCATTACACACAAACTGATACATTTCAAAAGTTTGTTTCTTTTAATGTTGATGATTATAACTGACAACTAATGAAAACCCCAAGTTCAGTATCAGAAAATGTGAATATTGTGAAAAGGTTCAATATTGAAGACACCTGGTGCCACTCTAATCAGTTAATTAACTCCAACCACTGGCAAAGGCCTTTTGGTCTCTCAGTCTAGTTCTGTAGGCTACACAATCATGGGGAAGACTGCTGACTTGACAGTTGTCCAAAAGATGACCATTGACACCTTGTACAAGGAGGGCAAGACACAAAAGGTCATTACTAAAGAGGCTGGCTGTTCACAGAGCTCTGTGTCCAAGCACATTAATAGAGAGGCGAAGGGAAGGAAACGATGTGGTAGAAAAAAGTGTACAAGCAATAGGGATAACCGCACCCTGGAGAGGATGGTGAAACAAAACACATTCCAAAATGTGGGGGAGATTCACAAAGAGTGGACTGCAGCTGGAGTCAGTGCTTAAAGAACCACCACGCACAGACATATGTAAGACATGGGTTTCAGCTGTCACATTCCTTGTGTCAAGCCACTCTTTAACAAGAGACAGCGTCAGAAGCGTCTCGCCTGAGACTGTTGCTGAGTGGTTCAAAGTTATGTTCTCTGATTAAAGTAAATTTTGCATTTCCTATGGAAATCAAGGTTCCAGAGTCTGGAGGAAGAGAGGAGAGGCACAGAATCCATGTTGCTTGAGGTCCAGTGTCAAGTTTCCACAGTCAGTGATGGTTTGGGGTGCAAGTCATCTGCTGGTGTTGGTCCACTGTGTTTTCTGAGGTCCAAGGTCAACGCAGCCATCTACTAGGATGTTTTAGAGCACTTCATGCTTCCTGCTGCTGACCAACTTTATGGAGATGCAGATTTCATTTTCCCAACAGGACTTGGCACCTGCACACCGTGCCAAAACTACCAGTACCTGGTTTAAGGACCATGTTATCCCTGTTCATAATTGGCCAGTACACCAGACCCAACAATTCAGAAGAGCTGAAGGCCACTATCAGAGCAACCTGGGCTCTCATAACACCTGAGCAGTGCCACAGACTGATCGACTTCATGTCACGCTGCATTGCTGCAGTAATCCAGGCAAAAGGAGCCCCAACTAAGTACTGAGTGATGTACATGCTCATACTTTACATGTTCATACTTTTCAGTTGGCCAACGTTTCTAAAAATCCTGTTTTGTAAACTGGTCTTAAGTAATATTCTAATTTTCTGAGATACTGAATTTGGGGTTTTCATTAGTTGCCAGTTATAATAATCAACATTAAAATAAATACAATTTTGAAATATAATCAGTCTGTGTGTAATGAATGAATATACAGGTTTCACTTTTTGAATGGAATTACTGAAATAAATCAACTTTTTCATGATATTCTAATTTTATGACCAGCGTCTACTTATTTTTTGTTTAAGTTTTTAATGATCTCTATGCCACTAAAGGTTCACGCTCCTACAGAGATTTTTGGAACACTCATAAAGAGGGCAGGGACTCCAGGCTGGAAATCATTAAACGATACATAAAAGTACAAAAGAATTTCAAAATAAATTTAAAAATGTAGTCACCATCTTCTGCAAGTCAGCGGTACTTATCCGTCCCGCTTCCTTCTTCATCTGGTCCACACCTTTCTTTGCCAGGTTGAGGTAGGCCTGCAGGTGATGTCTCATCACGGCGAGCCGGAGCATACACATCAGTATAATAACCCATAACCGCAAAGTATCAAACGTCTGTTCAGTCATCCTGGCAATAATGGAAATGCGGGAATAGGAGAGGAGAAATGAAAAGGGATGACAGTTTTTCTTTTTTCTGGTTCACAAACTCAGTACCTTGTGCAAGTATCATCTAGACTGTAAGCAGACTATGAGACTGAAAGAGAAGACGGGAAGTGATGAGGAGCCACAAACAGCTCAGAGGAAAAAGCAAGAGAGGGTGAAATTGAGGTATAAAAAGGTGAAAAGGGGGTATTGTAACATGAAATTAAACTTAATCAGGTTTAGCATTGATAGTGTAATAATCAGTGTCAATAGCAAAAAAAAGTTCAATATGTGACAGACTTTAAACAACAAATGAAAAATGCCATTATAGAACTCAGAACAATGTAGATGATAAAAAAGACAAGTCTCTCAAGTATGTCACCCAACCTATGAGCACAATGCACCAATGTAAATTAAATTCTTGTTTTTCGTTTTTATTCTATTTTTTTGGATGGAGTCTATTCTGATGCTGAGAGAGATATGGTACCTCTGAATACTAACCTCACAAGTGACTTAGTGCTGATGTCAGTACATGTTTTCATCACCCATGTTAGTGTGGGATACCAAGATATGTCCATATACCAAATGAACATTGGACAGACAACCCACCCCCCTCCACACACACACACACAAAGTATATACAGTAGTCCCACACTACTTTGCGATTTAACTTTCATGGACTCGCTTTTTCGTGGTTTTTCAACGATTGCCAACTTTAATATTACTCACATGATTGGGACGGTACGGGATAAAAAGTTAACAAAAAAATACGTCGGACAGGTGCCATCATTTTGTAGTTTTCTTTCAATAAGCCTCCACTATAACGCAAGTCAAAAGAACTACACTACCCAGAAGCCAACAGTACTTCCAGCCGCTGCTTTCTGCCGAAATGGAGGGAAAGTTTGAAACACAAATCTATGCTATCTATTAAGCTCGCAGAACTGACAGGAAAGTAGCAAATAATCCTGAAACTTCCTGAAGCTCACATCAACCTGGATGAGGAGGTGGGCTTTGTCGCTGCAGGCTAGGTCTGCTGAACCGGAACCAAGCTCGACTGGAACCAAGCTGCTGGTCTGCAGAGCTGGTGAGTAAAATTTTGCAGATCTGTACCGTACGCACGTATATCTATGTTGTTACAATTACTGTATGTAGGTTTAAAAGTGTAGAATATTGCAAGAGTGTGGGAAATGTTTTTTAAAGCCTTAAAATATACAAATACTAAAATAAATATGGCGTTCCTACTTGGCAGTTTTTCACCTATCGCGGGGTGTGCGGAACGCAACATCCGCGATAATCGAGGGACTACTGTACTGTAGTACTGTACTGTACTTTCCTTAAAATATCAAAACAATCAAATTTAACTTTATTAGGATTTTGTGTCTTGCTTGTACAGAACTCAAATAAGCATGTCCTTTGCTAAATAAACAAAATGTGTAAGTTAGTCATTTAATTTTCCCAGTTCATGAAGGTTAAAGCTATAATACTTGCCTTTCAAAAACTGGTCTTATCTTTTCAAATTTATACAACGGTTTGCTGAATTACTATTTTTGAGTAAAAGAAATGGCACACTGAACGCAGTATGAACATGAAACATTTACTTACAAAGGCACACTCTCTTTTCCCAGAGTGGGGTTCATTATGTAGTCCTTGGTAATGGGCTTCACCCAGAGCAGGACCATGATGACGGGGGACAGGAAGTTGATATGAAGCAAAGTTCTATGAAAAAAAAAAACATATATATTAAAAAAAAAAAAAAAACATTAAAAATGTAAACAATAACTGATGAAATACTTCTTCAGAGAATGAATCAATAAGCTTTATTAAAATTGTTACTTTATCTCATGTTGCAACCAATATAGTTATTTTATTAAGTGCAATATTCCCCATGACAGTTAGGAATACAACCAAGTGGCACATTTGGAAGGGCATAAAAACAATCCTTCTAAGTGACTGGGTCTGATGATATAAGCTCACATAATTTATGAGGGGAAATGGGAAAAGGAAGCCATTTTGAGGAGTCTACTATGCCAAAGTGAATTATGTGCATGCAGTGTGCTCGTTGTCTGGCATCCCCCATCTTGGCCAGTCATACCATCCTGGGAGTTCTGAAACAGAAATATGACTAAACTGAAGAAGTCATCATCTGAAGATGTTCTCGTGTTCGTGTGTCTGACATACCAGGAAAGTTTGAATGAAGCAAATTATATTAAACTGGAAGAGCAAAGTATTTAATTTGATCAATAATTAAAAACAAGCATGCTGGACTAATCTGAAAATATGGACTCATAAATACAAACATCTTTGAGAAAAATATTTGAGCCTAAAAAGTTGAATACATTTGATTCAAATATACAAAAGTTACTGTTCAAATATTTTTAACAAGCAATACTTTCCAATTGCTCCGTCCTGGAGACATTTTTATTTATTTATTTGCAGTTCTTTATGTGATCGAACTGTTCTTTAGAAATAAAACCTCAATCAAAGCGTAAAAGTTTAATTGAGAAGCATTGTGTGTAATTTACTGCTAATAAATTTAAATTCCAGATAAACACTTCAACTTGAAAATATTACTTTTTAAACCACTGATGTTTTGGAATTTTACAACTCATTTTAGAATTTTAATGATTGTGCATACATTTCAACAAAGCTTCCCATGTGTCCTAATAAGGATATAAACATTATTTTAACACAGGTGTCAACTTACAGGGGAAGAATATTGGGACAAAATACTTACTGTGTAAATTTGTTTGTGGTTAAATTGAGTGCATCTAAGTGCATCTGAGCAAGTCGTAGGCCAGGGAAAGTTAGAAATGCTCCAATCAGAGAGCAGAGCAGGGCCAGAATCAGCTTGAAGGTGAGTTTAGATATTGGACCCCTGAGAAAAAGAAAAGACATAAGAACAGAATTACTAGGAAGGACAAATTATGCTAGGCGTCAAATAAAAGTACCAATGACAGCTGACATTGTTTTAAAAGAATAACAGACACTATCCAGAAGCCTAATTGGTTTAACAACATACATGCATGTTTAGCTACATCCCAGTGGTGACAAGAAGAGTACAACGTTTTTGTTAAAGGAGCACAATGCTAGAACAGTTTAAGAAACAATTAGGTTGGTGCTTTGAAAAGCCATTTTCATGATGTAGTCTGAACAAGATAACCTCTTTTTTCAGAAGAGAAAAGGTCTGCAAAACATCTGCGTCAAGTTGCATGCTTTGCAACTCTGCAGGTGTGCAGCCAGGACATTCTTAATGCTGAGATATGGAAATGCTGACTTGAACATCTGCAAGCTAGAAATCTGCTGATGACAGACATAGAATAAGACTATTCCCAAGCATTGTACCATTTCTAAATGCCTATATACAAGAATTAGTCAAATATCTGTGTTTTATTTTTTTATATTGTTATATTAAACTGTTAAAATATTTTGGCCAAGTTGCTTGGATTAAAAAAAAAAAAAGTTACCGTAATTTCCAGACTATAAGCCGCTACTTTGTTCACAAGCTTTGAACCCCACATCCTATACAGTGCTGCAGCTAATTTATAGATTTATTTTTATTTTATTTTTTGACAGGCTTACGAGCTTTACGCCACCATAACATTTAGCATTGTTATACCACTCGCATAGCTGCTCAATACATGTCTCTCTTGGGGATGGTCCTCATGAATCAATGAGACTACCTGTATAAAGGTTAAAAAAGGAAAGAAAAATCTGACCAATGAAATTACCGAACACGTCACAAAGAAACTTGGTTTCATTGGTCCACTGGGGGGTGGGAAAGAGTTCTCTCCTCCCTCCCTGTTGTGTCCACAGGGAGGAGGGAAACAAAGCTTCCCCACTCCCTGCGAGAGTTTCCCTCCTTCTTGCAGCACAACAAAATATTTGCAGCCACACAAAATAAATGTGAATCATAAATCGAATCAAATCAAATTGCAAATTTGCCTCGAGACGAAAGTGACGATAAGAGCGACAACGAAAGACTGAGGACGTGTGTGATGAACTTTACTGAGGCTGTTCCATTCTGGCACTGAAGAAAACTTTAGTGGTTTTAGTGCAAAGGAGGAAGATGAAGATACTGTTCAATGACTTCCGAGTAGGCTAATGTATTTTTTTTTCCAGCCATGTTACAGGCACTGTTCAGAAAAAAAAAACATTTACTGTACATATTTGTATATGTTAATGGTACATATTTAATTAAGAGTTAAAAAAAAAATCCTTCTGTGTAAATATCATATGTTATAACATGGACACTTGTACACAAGCGTAGCCTATATATGTACATATTTTTTTCTTTTTTAATTTAGTGGGCGCAGCTTATATTCAGGTGTGTTCAATAGTCCGGAAATTACGGTAATTAAAAAAAGTTTCCACTGGCGTTGATGGTTCAGCAACATGGACAGTACAATACATAAAACAAATGTGGGACAGGGTAAATAAAAAAAACTGAACGTGTTTGAATAAAAAAAGAACAAGGGGAAGCTGTCAAATTAATTTCACAGCATGCCCTCATTTCACTTTTCATGCCTCATTTTTTAAACATCAGTTTGACCTTTTGAAGCCAATAATCAATACAAACCAGTTGTTTTCTCTCATTTGTATAAACATTGTACATAAAAACAGTTACATAGAGAATTTTTACTTAAACTGCAAATTCTATGCACAGCCTGCTCCAAGCCATATGTCATGTCATCTGTGTTAATCACCAAACTTACTGTGACTCCAGGCCCTGATAGTCCAGAAACTGTTGAGCGCTGTCAGAAAAGTTGGCAAAACCTAAATAATAAAAATATTCCACAGTGACTCAATGCAACCAGAAAAAAAAGAAAAAAAGAATGGTTGTCTTTAAGCAAGTGTGATGTGTAAGCACCGACCTGTTTCAAGTCCAAACTCCAGGTAGTTTTCAGTGACAATAAGAATGGCCATGGATTTGACAAAAAAAAAGAAAGCAAAAGTAATGCAGAGCGAGCGTTCTCCTCCTTCCTCCAGCTTGAAGTAGTGGGCCGTTAGAGAGAAAAGAGTCTTACTGAAGGGAAAATGTTAAGGAAATGTCTGAGGCATGTTGATCAAACAAGAAAATCTTTACAGTACCATTACCATTTTCTTTACACTTTGTACTCAGAAGTGATCAGAGCAGAGCTAAAACTCTCAGATTCTCTCCCATTTTTCTTAAAGAGACACGCTGCTCGCTCTCTCACTATCCATCCGCTGCTCGCTCTCTCACTATCCATCCTTTGGTTCAGTCTTATAATAATAATAATAATAATAATAATAATGTCATCACAATGTCAGCACTGTATGTTTCCATACAATGGCGAAATTAGTCTCTGCATTTAACCCATCCACCACCAGGTGGTGCAGTGGGCAGCTATTGAAAGCGCCTGGGAGGCTTTTGGGGATGAGGTGTGCTGCCCAAAGACACCACGTGATGTGCAGTGACTGGGGATCGAACCTGGGACTTTTGGGTCCCAAGCCGGCTGCCCTGCCTCTACACCATCTCGGCCCCTTATACTGCCATCCAGTGGTAAAAAAACGGTACTAGACACAAAAATTAACCAACATTTCTTCTTAAATTTGACAATGACTGATTACTGTCAAATTTCAAACAATATTATAATTTATTGCGATAATTTCTGAGAATTAATTACCCAGCAAAATTTGTTATCGTGACAGGCCTATGAACATATCCAGTCAGACTGATACATTTCACAAAATGAAAGGCAAAGAGACATAAATACCAATACATTCAAACACCTGAGTTATCTCGGTGTTCCTTTGATATTAGTAAAAGGTTAAAGAGAGCAGTAGAGTTGATCTTCAGGGCAAGTGTGTTCAACATGCCATCAAAGCTGAAATGGGAAAACAGAAATCAAGCATTCCATTAACACATATATTGGACCAACGTATTCCTCATCTTTATGGTCCCATTTTATCAGTTTCCCAGTCTGTCCTTTCCGTCAAGCAAATCAGTGAGTTGGGTCTGTGAAAATTGGACCTCCAATCTGCAACGCAGGCAGAAAATGACACCCCATTTGACCACGGTGAGCCAGGTCCAAGCATTAGAACTGGAAAGATTGATCCCTTTGGGCAGTGGCAAGGATAATGTATGTTATTTAACCATCATTCAGCATTACAAAATACCAGACGGAAGATAAATGCAATGGTGAGATTGCCTCTCACCAGCACTGCTGCATGCACACAAACTGAAATGATTTGATCTCTGTTGTAGACAAAAACAAATTAACCTTCTGCATATAAACCGAAGAGCATGAAAGTAATTGAAACATATGAATACACAGAAGGCTCAGCAGAAACCTCCATTTGCACCAGGAACAACGTCAGAATATTACAAATTTAAAAACCAGGTTACAAGAAAAAAAAACAGTACAGCAAAAGGGGCACCCAATATGTAAAGAGTGACTGATGTAAGGATACATAACGAAGGCGAGAACGAGTAGGCACCAGACCACACTGATGTTCATCTCTCCTGAGGGCTGAGCCACACTGTAGTAAAGCTCTGTTATCAGATAGACTGCACTTGCTGCTACTGTAAAATCTACGAGCCACTGGAACTCAGGGAAATAATACAATGCTGAAGGCAAAAAGAACATAAATCAAAACAATTATAAAATGTGCTAAATGGAATCATGTGTTCAAATGTTAAAAAGTGTGAAGAAAGAATGAAATTGTCTTTTTCCATTAACATGATTTAAGATATATACTGTACCTAAAGTGTCGACTTCTGTGATGCATTTTGTCTCCAGCTGCAGGTCTATGTCCTTTGGAACAGTTACCGGCTTATTGTCTATGTGACCATTATGCTTCCTAGAAGCAAAGAGAAAAAACTAATTCAAAGAACAAACAGGAAAAAAGTCTGTTCTATCGCAACCATCTGTTCTATTGCAACCATAAATCATGTTTTAAAAATGTAAAAATAAAGTCTAATTGTGCCCCTCATAAAACCTTTATTTCGTCCGCTCCCTTCTTCAGGAGTCGCCACAGCGAGTGAACTCACATGAGAAGATTTTGGCAAGTGTTTTACACCAGATGTCCTTCCTGACACAACCGGGGATCGAACCTGCAACCTCAGGAAGACTGCAGCATTGACCACCAAGCTACCACAGCCATTAATCATGTTCCTCACAATTACGAATCGTCTCAAGCTTCTAGGTAGGGGCAAAAGGAACAACTGAACTTAACTATTTACAGGTTTTCAAGCTAATTGAAGTTAGCTCTAATAAGTGCGTCCCTTTTCCAAACTAGCATATGTTATTAAGCTTTCAAAACATAAACATATTCAAGTAATCAGACAGAATAAATAAATTAATTATGGCTTAAGAGCTTCACTTTGGATTCACTGCAGCAGTTGACCTGGTGCATGGTGTTGATAGGTGACTTGTGGCTTTTTGTGTATTACAACCAAAAAGAGAGACAAACTTTAGGCTAGATGCAAATTATTCATATTATAAACAAGTAGAACTCTGTTCATCCTGACACATAAAACCTCACAAGTAAAAAAGAAAAAAAAGAAAAAGAAAATTAAAAACACAATTGAAATAAACTGTTAGTGTAAAAAATGTCAAATTATGAAAATGCCCAATATTTTTAAACAAAAATAATCCTTTGTACTTTTTCTATGCATTTACTAAGTATATTTTTAGTGTAAATACAATGTACATTTGTACAAATACGGTAGTCCCTCGTTTATCGCAGGGTTTAGGGGACCACGCCCCCTGTGTGAAAAACCATGAAGTAGAGATACAGTAGTGCAAGATCAAGTTTCATTCCCAATCTCCCTCCTTCTGCATAAACAAACTATTTAAATGTAAATACTGTAATATTTTAAATAAACAATCCACGCAGCACGGATTGTTTATTTAAAATGTTACAGTATTTAAATTGTAGAGAAGAGAAGCGCAGCAGGACATTAAAGGGTTAACTTCACACAGTTCTGCAGCACGGAGCAGAAATGTACTTGATCAATTACACTGCAACAATTGAACATAGAAGTTCAAAAACAATTAAAAATAACTTTTAACACTTGTATATTTTGTGATTATGATGATTTTATGATGTGACATACTTTGAATTTTAAGTTGGAAGACAAATGTCGATCGGTGCAGATGGACAGCAAAGGGTTAACCCTTCACAAAGCTGCTTCAGCTGGAGAAGAAATGTGTGCGTGACAGAGAGCCGCAGGTGGCAGAGAGAGGAGATCATGACATGCTGCAGAGGGAGCTTCTCCCTGCACCTGTGGGTTGCACAAAAGTGCAGCAGGTGCTAAATCATTTCAAATAAATTTTAAATAAACAATCCATGCCGTTTGTGTGGCTCATCCATCAATGAGCCAATTGTGTGTCATGACCACTCTTACTTTTAAAAAACGCGAAAGAGCGAGTCAGCGAAAGTTGAACTGCGAAGTACCGAGGGAGTACTGTACAACGTTTTGCTTAAAACTTCGGTGTGTAAAGTGGTGGGTGATCTGCATTCCTTTGAGTAATGCTAGTCCAAATATAAATACCACTTGACGTTTCCAAAGGCAAAGTGGACAACACTAACAGCAGATGCACAGCAGATGAAAGGAGAATTGATGTGTGTGTGCTAAATTCAGAGTCACAATGGCACTGTTAAGACTCTACGGCCAAACAAGCCCTGGACACATTTTGTCCAGGAGACACCTGGCAGCTACAAAAAAAAAAGAGGATTAGCTCCACCTCTAACAGAGGATGTCAGTTGGTTAACAAAAGGAATGGAGTCACACGGCACGAGTTGAAAAGGACAGTGGTCCATCGTTTTCTTCAAGGAATTACTGAACATGTGGTGCTGGAGAGACATGACCTGCCTCATACGGGGTCAGAAAAAGAAAGACGGGACTATAAAACTATCCTGTGGAACAGTACAGATTAACTTTAGGGTGTGACTGTAATTTGAATTCAAACACAAATACTGTTCCTACACTGAAAAAGATGAATGATAGTTGCTTTTCTTGCTTAAGATGCATTCACCTTTACGCTTGTATTTCCCTTTAAATGAATTCAGTTAAACATATTCTGCAACACTAAAACAAGATTGGGAACCAAAGTTGAAAAGTTGTTGTCAAGGAAAGTCCTCTTACAAAAGTGGATATGATTTTTGACCATCACATTGAAAATATTAGGTTGTTTTGGTAACGTTGACTTCAGAGAAGGTTCAAATCGAACTTCCATTTCTTGAAAGAAACAAACAAAAACTGAACCAAAACACAAGAGCAATTTTTTTAATTTCCACTTCTAAGAAGTACAGTAATGCTTTAAACTCCAGTGAACAGCCATAAAGATTCAAAACAAAAACAGACTTCTGTCTCTTCATTTCAAACAGCCACTAAGTAACACTGCATGAACATCATTTAGTTGAAATGCTGTGTTGTCATTGGTCCATGCCTGCTGTTTCCTGCTCTTAAATTGAAACTAATGTCAAACCTTGAATGTCTGCTGCTCATGCTTTTCAACCTACCACGTAATAGTCCTACCTGTCTTTCCTCTTCTGTCCTTTTTGTTTTCCAACTAAATTCCTCAACTCATCTTCCGTAGGGTGCTGATACCATCGCAGACTGCAAATAAAAAAATAACATGTTCAAATGGACAGAAGACATGAGTAAAAGGTTTAAAAAAGGTACAAAATAAAGTAGAATTTTCTACAGTTGAGGACATGGAAAAAATACAAACTGTAGCTAGATTTAACTATTCAATTCAGTTTTTTTATTAAATGCAAACTGACATAAATCATTGCCGGGCACTGTACAAAATTACATTTAGGTATGTTTAAAATCCCACTGGTGTTGTACAAAGAAATATTAGGTTTTAGTTGTCAAAAACAACGCCAAGGTCAAGTGACTGTACAGTCATACAGTATATTATGACTAAACAGCACACACAAAAAATAATATTTGTAAAACTGCAATTTCACACACCCATAAAGGACATATGGGAGCTTTTACCACAGGAATGTGATTTATCTTTAGGAACTAAGCTTAGAATAAAACTAATTCAGCAAAAAAAATCATGAAAACAAACATTTCAGCAACATTTTTAATTCATGTTTATAGGCCATACTTTCCTCTAGAGAAGTACCAAGGGTACATTTTTATCATTTATTTGTATAATAAATGAAAAACATGGGGCAAAAAATCATTTGGGTTCATTTTTGGACTTTAATAATACATTTATCAATTCAGTAATTAAATAAAAAATTCCTGCACACAGTCCACTTTAAGATATTTTGACTGTAAAATGACATAATACAGTGAACGGTTCAAACTTACATACTGTTAGTAGTTTGCTGAAGTATTAACAATGTGCAGGGAATATTTGGTTCTTCATCATTTGGATTCTGTTCATTTCACTTCAGTATCACTGATGGCCTGTCACCTGTAGCATACCTTAACATTTTAGGAGATAATGTACATTCACTCAGTTTTATTCAGTTTTATGTGGATCATCATGTCTAGTTCACTCATTTGCCTCCTATCATTTAATCTTCAATCATGTTGGCAGCTCAAACATCGCTCTATGGTAATAATAGCATGTATACGTGTACTGTCCAAAGCTGTAGATAGATTGGCTGTTGTAGTATTTGTCTGAGCTAAGGGTTAGGCTGTTCACTCTACGGATATATGTTTAAAATGTGCAAAGATTATCACTAAAATTGACATCCATACAACTGCAGAGTAATTTTGAAAAAGTCAGATTGCCAAGTCATGAACTAAGGAAATTACCCTTACCTGCCACTGCACAACAGCCATCTTGCAAAGGAATAATGAGGTAAAATCTTTTGGATTACACTGGCCATTACCATGGTAACCACCAGCTGAACACCAATCACACCCTGTGGGGGGAAAAATATTATAAATGCCACTACAAACATACTAAATATTTAGCAAGTTCCAACTACACATGAATACAATTTAAATGGTTGCACAATTCAGATTAATAGTAAGCAAGGGCATGGAAACATGTAAAATAAAATTATAATAACACCCTTAAAATGCAATAAAATAGTTTGTCATCAACACAAAATAACTTTGAACACTTGTATGGAGTAGAAATGTGACTTCCTGAACCATAATAATATTGTATTTAATTGCCATGATGGGGCAATTTTCAGATGACCTTCATATTTTCTTGCAAACCTGTTTGAGACTACAACAAATCTTACCAAGTATTTTTTTTAATAAAAAATATAAACAAAAACTAACAAAAAAAATCCTGTGCTTAATGAAAATGAGGTACAGGAGTTAATCACTTCATTGTATATATTAGACATACCACAAACTGTATTTAGGGCTAAACTAGTTGCCTCAAAGCTATTATTCTGTTTTATGACATAACACTTCATTTTACAATACGAGTAGCCATGACTGATTTTCAGGCAGTGTTTATTTCCAGTGATTATTATTTTAGTCAAAATTCTCATTTTTTACAGTTATTCTCACCTCTTAAATTTGACACAACATATAGATGCATTGTATTAAGCAAGACATTTTTTTTCTCCAAAAGACACACTTGTATTGAAAATCTAAAGTCCGAGACAAGTTAATGATTTAAACTCATCTGGTGACTTCGTAGAGGATGCATGTGTCAAAAGTTTATTGTTGTTGTGTGATGAAAATAGAACATGAGGCTTTCAGTGATTTAAAATAAAGACTAGTTTCAGGAGAAAGGTCAAAGAAAAAGTTATAAGACAGTAGTGAGACAAGTTATGTTGTATGGCTTGGAGACAGTGGCATTGACACTGGAAGTGCTGAGGATGTTGAAGTTCTCCATGGGAGTAACAAGGATGGATAAGATTAGGAATGAGATCATCAGAGGTGCAGCACAGGTTGAACAACTGGGAGATCAAGTTAGAGAGGCCAGACTGAGAAGGTTTGGACATGTCCAGAGGAGGGACAGTGGGTATATTGGTAGAAGGATGTTAGAAATGCAGCTACCAGGAAAAAGACAAAAAGGAGATGCAGTTAGAGAGGACATGGAGGTAGTTGGAGTGAGGACAGAGGACGCAGAGGACAGAGTGAGATGGAGGAGGATGACTTGTTGTAGCGACCTCTGAAAAGGGAACAGTTGAAAGAAGAAGAATGAAGATTACTAGGGGTGCACCGATTGCACTTTTGTGGCCGATCACCGATTTCTAAAATGCCTGACCTGCCGATTCCGATTCTGTCCGATACCGATTTTAAGCGACACTGTCAGGTGTTATAAGGTCACAATACACCTTCAATTTTCCAATCTTATTTAATTGAAAAACATACCCTTGAACAATATCCTAGAAACAATGCAAACTTGTTTTAACTGTCCATGAGGCATTGCTCTGAAATATAAATGAAGTTCAGACAATTGTTGTTAAAACTAAAAAAATCTGTAAAATCGGTTTCTCATGCAAGTATCGGACAATTTCCGATTTCCCAAAATTAAGAAAATAGGGGTCGATTTATCGGCCGGCCGATTTATCGGTACACCTCTAAAGATTCCTATAGTTTTGTTTATGTTGCTTTTTCATGAATGTATCCACAGTCTCACCGAGTCATTGAAGTAGAAAAGAGCATAAAGCAAAAACTGTTATCAGCACACCCAATGTTTCTTTCTGCCATTTTCTCTCCATAAAAGAGCAGGCATTCAAAACAATGGTGAAACCTTGTCTGGAGTTCATTGCGAGATTGTACTATGTATAGCACTGGTCAACACAATCTATACCTTGTGGAGTGTGAATGTTGGGGGCAAGTGAATATTAATATGTATTTTTCAAGAAAAGTAGTAGGCAGTTGGCTTCTTCTGTTAAATTGTGCTGCAGCTTTTTTAACAATGGATGGATAACCCTTATAACACTATACTACCTTTAACTATAGATGCATTTTATTTAGGTGAAAGACACATTTAAAAATGAAACTAGCTTTCCCTAAAGGAATGCATATTGCCGGCTGCCATGCATGCCAAAAGGTTGTAGACAAAAATCTTGCGTGATCCGTTAGAATTTAGACTTTATGTGGTCAGTGATCGGAGTGGTGGCACAGAGGTTAGAGAAGGCGAGCCTGTGATCGGAACGTCGCATGTTTGACAACCCAGACAGACAACTTCAAAATGTGGGTGGGAAAGGTGAAGCACCACTCTGGGCCCTTGAACAAGGCACCTAACCCCCACCATCTGATCCCCTGGACACACTATGGAAGCTCTCTGCTCCACACAGGTTATTATTATTATGATTATTAGCTTTTACCACGCCAATATTTATTTCAGAATGTGTAAAACCGACTGTTTTAGCTGTTTTCGAGTTTGCAAAGTTCATAAATTTGGAATCCATGTTTAATATTTTAACTTCAGAAGGCAATCAGTTATAGATGTGCATCCAATGATTAATCTGATCTCAGAGTATAATTAAAACTGTCCGGTGGTCATGAGCTGTTTTGCCCCCAGACAGATAAAAAAAAAAAAAAAGACACATGACCTTCCACCAATCATAATAGCTGGCAATAATTAAGTATCAACTGTAGCTAAAATCTACTAATAATATAATATATGTACATAATAATCTGATAGAGTTCAGCTCATTGAATCATTTTAAAGACAATGGTGAGTGCTTCTGATAGCAGCTAAACAAGATCTGAAAACACCCAATTCAATAAAAAATGTCTAAAAAAATAAAATAAAATACAAAAATAAGCTTCCCAATATTCATAAGGAATTAAAATAATCATTAAATTTATAACAAAAAATATTTAAAAAATGTAAAAATAATTAGTATTTTCTCAGTACAGCTTATCACTGCTCCACAACAGTTGCTGTAAATTAGGAAAATGTCTTGGTCTCGTGCAAAATATAATCATTCCCATCAAGCTGAGCCTTTATCCGCTCAGTATAGGTTCATATCCACAGGTTGGCTTTCATTTAGCAATCAGTGGGAATCATTTATATCTTCTCCTGCAGTGGCAACCTCGGAGCTTTTATCAGTGAAACCACACTTACAAATCCAATATTTAAAAAAGAGCTAGAAATTATATAGCCTTTAGTATTTTTTCCACTTTTTGATAATCAGATATAGCATGAAAATGTTTAACAGTAATGCTAAGCTAAACAAATGTTTTCACCTCATTAAAATATTTTAAACACAATCTGCATAATTCCAGAGACCTGTTGCGCTCTGTTGCATATCTTGGCGAGAACATCGCGAGAAATTAGAACTGAATGAAAGCATAATTATGATAACAATAACAAGACTACACAGTAATCCGAGTGATAGTTTAAAACCATGTTAGGCTTAAATAGTTATATAAAGAGAAAGTGACTAATGCTGGGTTAGGTGTGATAGTCCCAGACCTGCTCAGAGATCTAGATTATGGTTTGATCAAATGGATCCCCAGTGTCACCCAGCATGGGGTAAGCTCCAAAAGATGGAGTCAATACTTCTTCTGAAGTCACACAGAGAAGAGTGGGTGCCATTTATTTGGCAGTTATACTCACCTCTCTGCGAGGCGTGACTAAACACAACATCTCTGACTCAAGACATTTCTCCATCGGAGTAACGGTCATGCTATATAGGTCAAAAGCACACAGTCTTACTTTGGTGGATGCTGACCATTCTCTGTAGGGCACCTGCGAGGATTTCAGGCCTGGAGGAAATTGACCCAGCATGGTCTCCCTTATCTTACCCAGTCCGTTTGACCCCCTCCACATAAAAACCAAATGAAATTTGTAGGGGGTAGGGAGTGGAAGCTGCAGTAATAACCACCTTTCATAGGTGTTCAAACACCTCAGTGCCATTTTACTGATGAATTTAACTTTGGAGTTGTGACCCAAGTATTGATCAGTTGTTGCTCATTTGATTTATCTTAACTACTCTTAACTTTGCTCAATCTATTCCACCTATATGAATAAATAAAAATTAATAATGAAAACATACATATAACAGTAAAAAATAAATATATAAAACATGCCAGAGAAGACGTTGCACCACATCAAATAAAAAACAATGTTGTTTTGTAAATTTTCATAATGATTATCATGATAAGAAGAGGGAGAATTTCAGACCAATTTATAAAACATCGACAGAAGGGAACAACTTCCTGCTCAGGACAAAATTTGAAAGCAAACTAATTTCCTTGATCCATTTTTTATTTTACAATTCCATTTTTCCACCAACACTTGAATTCCTCTGTTTTTGATTGACTTGTGCCCTCTCTGACCTGTGACCTCAAAGACATAATTTAAACTGTTGCACGGTGTTATAGACGCACATACATACATACATACACACATACATACATACATATTTGTATACATATACATGTACATGTATATGGCTGGACAGTTAGTGCATAACTAGGTTTGTATTGCGTGTGGTTTTCACGGTTTGGGGTTTGAGCTGAGCCGCTGGTTATACAATCTCTGCTCCAAGTCCAAAAGTGGTGGAGCTGCGTGGGGAATTTAGTAGGCGGGGCAGTCAGTATCCCCACCATCACAGACATCTACACCTCCAGATGCAGGAAGAGGGCCACCTGCATCACCAAGAACCCCACTCACCCAGCGCACACACTTTTTGTCCTGCTCCCCTCAGGAAGGAGGTTAAGGATCATTAAGTGTAGAACCACTAGACTGAAGAACAGCTGCCTTCTACCCTGAAGCTGTTAAGACTCATGAATATCGAACCAGGATAATCACAGTGAAAAATCACCTCATGTTGCTGCTGATCTGTTTCATGTTGCTGTGTTCTTGCATGCTCATCTGCTCACACAGACTCATGTTCGTGCTGCTGTTTGGCATGTTGTTTTTTATGCTGTTAGTGCTTAGCATATTTTTAGTTGATGTTTTTTCTTAGTTCATATCTTCGATCTTATTACTGTTTTTCTTTTACATTTTATTGTAGGATGTAAATGGGACCCTGTGTACATAATCTTTCTCCACCACATGTACTGTACACACACACACTTTTGTATTTGTATATATATATATATATATATATATATATATATATATATATATATATGTACACACACATATATACGCATGAACGCACGCACGCAAATACACACACACACTTGATAGATTGATAGATCGATAGAACTAAACCCTTGTTTGTATTGACTTAAAGCCAAAACCTGCCCTATGAAATTATATTGTGTTTGGCTTTACAACTAGCTTCTGTGATAATAATGTCAATAAATAAAATAAACTAAGCTTCTTCAGATAAATGGTGGCGTCAACGAACATTATATGGCATTTCTATTAGCATGACCTGGTGTCCAGATTCATGTGGCAACATGTACCAAAATTTAAAAATAATAATAATCACTGTAACCTTCATCATTTAAATCACAGGAAAAGACACACAGTACTGTCAACCAAATGAGTCATTGCGTGAAATGATCTTGAAGTTTCACCTGAGGGCATCCTGAGGTCAAACTGAGCAGGTCAGAGGAGTGGACCCACCTTTAACTGTATCCTAACTTGGTGGCAAGATGAAAGCTCAACTAGGTTAATTTACTCAGACTTAAAACCTTTAACTGAAAACGTTATGATTGGGAAATATCTAGTCATGATATTAGATTCAAGCTGAACAATCAATTATAAATAAATTAATTAATCAATTATAAATATAGCAGAAATCAGCAACAAACTCAAAGCTACGCTCGGCAGAATGCAGATCTTAAAGTCATCTACCTGGAAGCTGCAGCAGAGGCGTTCCAGCGGGCAGAAGAGGAAGCGCTGCTCCCGGCTTAAGAGGAGAGGATGCCGGGCGGGGGTTATGGTGAGGCTACGAGCTAACGCTAAAGCCGGTAAACTCCCCATGCCGTCTCTCTTTCTGTCGAACGTCCGCTCGTTGGACAACAAGGTGGATTTACTTCGTCTGAGAGCGGGCGCCTCAGAAGAGATGAAGAAGTGTGCAGTGCTTTGCCTCACAGAAACGTGGATTACAAGTGAAACGCCGGACTCAGTCTTCCAGCTGGATGACAGACTTTTTTTTCGAGCGGACCGCTGCAGCGAGCTAACGGGGAAATCACGGGGGGGCGGAGTGTGCATTTACGTGAGTAAAAGTTGGTCCACGAACTGTACTGTTGTAAATAGCTCATGCTCGAAGGCTTTGGAGCAAATAACAGTGAAATGTCGGCCACATTATCTACCCCGAGAGTTCACAGTGACTTTTATCACAGTTGTTTACATTCCTCCGGACGCTAATGCTAATGAATCACTACAGGAGCTACATGATATCATCAGCTCGCTGCAGAACAAACACCCCGAGGCTCTTTACGTGGTAGCCGGAGACTTTAACCACGTGAATCTAAAGGAGTGTCTCCCAAGCTTTTATCAGCATGTGACGATTCCAACACGTGGAGACCGCACGCTGGACCGTGTTTACACGAACGTAAAAAATGCATACAAAGCCGAACCCCGCCCCCACCTAGGACTGTCAGACCACATCTCAATCTTCCTGGCTCCTGCTTACATGCCCCCGCTGAGACGCTCCAGACCGGTACAAAAGAAAGTCAAATGTTGGATCCAGGACAGTGGCCCCATACTGAGAGATTGTTTTGATCGAACAGACTGGCAGGTTTTCAGAGAAACTGCTGAAAATGGAGGTTCGCTTGATCTTGACCAATACACATCCTCAGTACTGGGTTACATTAGTACATGTACTGACACAGTCTCCACTATCAGATATGTTAAAAGCTACCCAAACAGAAAACCTTGGCTGAATGCAGAGGTGCGTACCCTGCTGGAAGCCAGGAACACTGCCTTCAGGTCTGGAAACTCAGAGGAGCTGAGTAGGACAAGAAAAGAGCTGGTTGCTGGTATTAAGAGGGCCAAGGCCACATATGCAAAGAGGATCGAGGGTCAATTCATCTCACAAGACCCTCGGAGCATGTGGAGGGGCATTAAGTGCATAACAGATTATAAAGGAAGGAGTGAACAATGTCCCAAAGACCCATCTCTGCCTGATGCCCTCAACAAGTTCTATGCACGCTTTGAAGACCCGAACAGACCACCCAGCACCAGACTCACCTCACCACCGGATGAAGAGCATCTCAGCGTGACCTCAGCAGAAGTAAGGAGTACCTTCAGGAGGATTAATCCGCACAAAGCAACTGGCCCAGACAACATCCCCGGAAAAGTGTTGAAGGAATGTGCTGATCAGCTCTGTGAGGTGCTGGCAGACATCTTTAACACCTCACTTACCCTGGAGACAGTTCCCACCTGCCTGAAGACTGCCACCATCATCCCAGTCCCAAAAAGCTCTACAGTGACTGGTCTGAATGACTATCGGCCAGTGGCCCTCACCCCGATAGTCGCTAAATGCTTCGAAAAACTGATCATGACTCACATCAAAACAACCATCAACATCAACGAGGACCCTCATCAGTACGCATACCGTGAGAACCGATCAACAGAGGATGCAATCTCCTCTGTGGTCCACACTGCACTCAACCACCTGGAGCAGAAAAACTCTTACGTCCGTATGCTCTTTGTGGACTTCACATCCGCCTTCAACACCATGATCCCCCAAACCCTGATGGACAAACTATCCACACTAGGACTAAGCCCCTCCATTTGCAACTGGGTACTAGACTTTTTAACAAACAGACCACAGTTAGTGAGGATCCACAACCTCTCCTCCTCCACCATAACCCTCAGCACTGGCTCTCCTCAGGGATGTGTGTTGAGCCCCCTCCTGTTTACTCTGCTCACATATGATTGTGCAGCTACCCATCCAGGCTGTCACATTGTAAAGTTTGCAGATGATACAGCGGTGGTGGGATGCATCACAAACAATGATGAGTCCAGCTACAGGCAGGAGGTGGAACACCTGGAGAGCTGGTGCAGAGAGAATAACCTTCACATCAATGTGAAGAAGACAAAGGAGATGATTGTGGACTTCAGAAGGAACAAAAACACCTACACCCCCCCTGAACATAAGAGGATCTGCGGTGGAAGTGGTCTCCAGCTACAAGTACTTGGGTGTACACATGAATGACAACCTCAGCTGGAGCAACAACACCACCAGCCTGATCAAGAAAGCTCATCAGAGACTCTACTTCCTCAGACGGCTGAGGCGAGCTGGTCTGGGAAGCTCAGTCCTCACCTCCTTCTACAGGTGTGCAGTGGAGAGCATCCTGTGCTCCAGCATCAATGTGTGGCATGGAGGCTGCACAGCTGCAGAAAGAAAAGCTTTGCAGAGAGTGGTGAAGGCTGCACAGAAATCTGTTGGAGTCAGTCTCCCCACCATCACAGACATCTACACCTCCAGATGCAGGAAGAGGGCCACCTGCATCATGAAGGACCCCACCCACCCAGCACACACACTTTTTGCCCCACTCCCCTCAGGAAGGAGGTTAAGGAGCATTAAGTGTAGAACCACTAGACTGAGGAACAGCTTCTACCCTGAGGCTGTTAGACTCATGAATCTCTAACCAGAATAATCACTGTGAAAAACCATATCATGTTGCTGCTGATCTGTTTCATGTTGCTGCTGATCTGTTTCAATGTTGATGTGTTCATGCGTGCACATCTGCTCACAGACTCATGTTCATGTTTGTGGTGATGTTCAATGTTTTATGTTATGAGTGCTTAGTGTATATTTAGTTGATGTTTTTCTTAGTTCATATCTTAGATGTTATTACTGTTTTTCTTATACATTTTATTGTTGGATGTAACTGGGACCCTGTGTACATAATTTCGCTCCACCACATGTACCACATGAGGTGCGAATGACAATAAAGAAACTCTGACTCTGACTCTGACTCTGATAAAGGAGTAACCATAATTATACAAGTAACTCCATTTTGGCAAGCCCAAAATCCAGAATAGCTTGCTCTAGCAAAGACCTGCTTTAACATTTAACACACACACAAAAAGGACAAAAATCAGCCTGCAGCTATCTAATAACATAAGCTAAACGCTAACAGAAACGCCTAACACGCTGACATATTATTAGGTACTAACACAACCCAGTAGAACACCTGCTATAGCTAACAGGCTACGCTAAAATTACATTCACAATACAAACTAGTAAACGAAAACAAGTAAGCAAACTTACAGTAAATAAATCATGTAAAAACATATTTCAAGCAGACATTTAATCAATAATAAAACACGAAAAAAGAGTGAATTCGCTGCGTTCTGGTGTCGCTGTCAGTTACTCACCATGTTGATGCAGTGCTGCTAAAACAGACTCTACCCCAGCAACACAGAGCACCCCTGCTCGAAAATCAAGCGGCCAGGAGCACATACGCCCTTTTTGCGATGGTGGAGCACAAACTGAAAAGGTTTCTTGTTAAAACTGTCACCGTATCCTTACTACATGGTCGGAAAAATCAATGGATTCACCCTCAGCTCGCAAGTATTTTCAACTGCAGTAGAGGTCAAATTGAAACTCTGGGTTAGTAGGTGTCCTCAGATTTGCCTGCATGTAAATTAAATAAAAAGGTAATAAATATTGGTGCAAACATCTACAAAACTATAAAATACATATAAATATATCTTAATTCATATGTGTGTAAGTTGTTTTTACACGTAAACATATTTAATCACGACATAAACTGCCTAGTTTTATATAGGAATAGTTAAGACGCATATAAGTGTTCAGCGAGCTCGCCTCAAAAGGAGAAGAGTGGCGAATCACAAGAACGCTTTACAGATGTGTAGTTGATTCTGTGTTGTTGGTTGCTGCCAGATTTGAAGCTGTGTGAAACGAAGGAAAAATGATTTTTCTTGTAGCAGATTATTCAAGAATCTAGATTATCGCACTGCTTTCGCAACCGGTGTACAAACAGAGCTCTACCGACATAATTTAGTCATTTTAGTCTAGTGTGTTTGGAAACAGAACAGATTTCTCGTCAGAGATTTTTCAGTTTTACCAGGGCTTTACAAAATGTACCAGAAAAATATTTAACTCTGACATGCATCACAAATGCAGCTCATTGAACATACGTTTTATTTAAGCACGCATTAAGGAAAGACTAAAATAAATTATCCTGATGCATGCTCAATAATCCAGGTAGAAAAATCTAAAAAAGTTAAATCTGGTCCTCTGGACATTCAAAAAAACAAAGCAAAACAACAAAAAAATGTAGAAACGTTTCATCTCTCATCCGAGAGACTTCCTCAGTCTGAGGTGCTGTTTTCAGCTCAGTCTCTAAAATAAATTACATGTCATAAACAAATTTATTACATTATTGTCCACCATAGTCCAGCATTTTTTACATTGTTTGATGGAGGGATGATTTTTTTATTTTGAGGCACATTTTTCTTCTGTTCAGCAGTGCTTTCCCCACATTTTTAGAAATGTAATAATTGCTTAATAGTTCTCTTATAAACTGTAATACATGTTTCAATGCTTTGAATTGCAATGATCCAAAATGCTGCTGCCAGAGTCTTAATGTGAAGTAGTAGGAAAGACCATATCTCAGAGGTGGGACAAAGTCATTGTTTTGCAAGTCTCAAGTAAGTCTCAAGTCTTTATCCCCAAGTCCCGAGTCAAGTCTCAAGTTAAGACAGTCAAGTCAGAGTCAAGTCAAAGGGAACTGTCAAGTCCAGTCCCAAGTCTGAAACTTGAAATTTCAAGTCCCTTTGAGTCTTTTTTTAAAACTATGTTGCAATTATATGTTAAATGTAAAAAATAGATGGTGTGTTATTTAAAAAAAAATCTATTTATATCAAATTGTGATGAAACGTGTACAACTGAACTTACAAAGTGCTAAAATATTTCTAAAATTGCACCTTGGTATATTGTTCGATTAAACTTAGTTGAATTGTCTCCCTTTAAACTATAATTTTCCAGAATAAACATTCAGTGAAAATGCAAAAGCAGAACTCCATGTTCAGACAAAACGTGCTGACATTTCCATTAAACATTACAAAGAATCATCCATCCATCCATTCCTTATCTTTACCCACTTCTTCCATTTTGGGTCGCGGGAGTTACTGGTACCCATGTTCAACTATCACTGTGCAGGACGTGGGGTACACCCTGAACAGATCTCCAGTCCATCACAGGGCCACATAGAGACAAACAACCATTCACTCTCTCACTCACACCTAGGGACAATTTAGAGTTACCAATCAGTCTAACATGCATGTTTTTGGTCTGTGGGAGGAAACCGGAGTACCTGGAGAAAACCCATACATGCACAGAGAGAACACGTAAACTCCACCCAGAAAGGCCCCCGGCCGGGATTTGAACCAGGCTGCACTACCGTGCTGCCAGTTACAAAGAACCATCACAATAAATGTATTTCCTCTCTCATATGGTCACTTAGTGAACATATGTTTGTATGCTCAAGATTCGCAGTTCTTTATTGTCATTCACATCACATGTGGTACATGAGGTGGAATGAAATTGTGTACTCAAGGTCCCAGTTATACCCAAAAAATAGCAAAAATATAATTTATAAAAAGAAACAGTATATAAGGATCTAAGATATACACTAAAATTGGGGAGTGGTGTTAGAGGAGGTGGGCCTGTGATCGGAAGATCGCTGGTTCAAGCCCTGGTACCGACAACATAAAAAATGTGGGTGGGGTAGGTGAAGCACCCACACCTGCTCCCACCCTCATTTGCCCCACTCTGGGTCTTAACCCCCACATCTGCTCCTCCGGGTGTCCTAGATAGCAGCTCTCTGCTCCACTCAGAAGGCTGTGGTAGCCTGGTGGTCTGTGGTTGCATCAGGAAGGGCATCCGGTGTAAAAATAATTGCCAAGTCTTCGTGCGACTTAGTTCGCTGTGGCGACCCCTGAAGAAGGGAGCAGCCGAAAGAAGACGAAGAAGAAAAAAAAATATATATATACACTAAAATATACAGTATGTTAAATGAACACTAAACAATAGGCTAAAAAAATCTAAGATATACGCTAAATGCTAATAATGTAAAACAATACAATATATTAACAAAAAAAGGTTGAATCATGTCATCTGGACTTCGTTTTTTTGTTAAAAAGAAACGTTTCGCCCCTCATCCAAGAGGCTTCGTCAGTCTGAGGCCTAGCCATCTGGTATTACCCAGAAGCCACCCTGACTCTTGTGTTTCAAGCCTGCCTCAGATACCCCTGAAGTCTGGCCTTTTCACTAATGGTTTCAAAAACACAAAGTTTGTTTTCTCAGTCATCCAGGTATATAACAACAAAAAAAGGTTGAATCATGTTTTTTTTGTTGTTATATACCTGGATGACTGAGAAAACAAACTTTGT